ATAAAAAAAAACCCACAATGACATGTTCTTCTAGAAGGCAAAGATGAACTTTCACTGAGGTGAACCAGCTGCTATGTAGGATGAACACTCATTTCGTGGTTGTTGTTGCCGGCACATCACAGAATGACTCGAGAGACCATTTCTGAGAATAGCAAACTGGATGAGTGCTGGACGTTTTTTAAGTTTGAAAATATAATGTAGAGATCCTCCAGTCTGAGCTGGAGTGATTTTGTTACAAGCTGGAGTTGAGCAGAGCTTCTTAGGGGTTTAATTTGGAGTGCATTCATGGTAAGAGAGACAGGACAGGACACTGTTGTTATAGACACAGAGCTGCCGTGAGCGCCCAGAGCCAGGGAAAGCTCGAGAGGCTGAATCAGAGGCCTCGACACGATGTCAAGCTGTACTGCGGTGTATGCCCAAGGAGGAGTCCTCAGGGAGAGGCCTGCTGCTAAAACTGCTGTCTGACTACACATGCACAAAAGCCTCTAATACACAGTGAGAATGCATGTGTCTGTGCTGACATTTTTACTACAACCAGGTTTTACTCTTCCTTTACTAGTAAGAGGCGAAAACACCCTTCTATGCTAAATAAGAGTTCAGTGTAAGAGAAGCAGGAAGTTACATCATTCTTGTCCAGTCAAGACCGGTTATTAATCACAAGGGTGTCATCAGTTGTGGTTTATCACATACATACAGTAGGACACTTTGATATGTGCGCTTTAATATGAATCGCATCACAAATTTGTTACATAAATTTGTGGAATTTCAGCTTAAGCCTGCTATCTTGTTAAAGACAGTGACAACTAATATGACAATGACTGCCCAATCTGAGAGTACATGAAAGCAATAAAAGATTATCAACTATAACCTGAAAAGCGCCTTCAGACCAGGACACTACCTGACATTGCCGCTGCTATTTCTGTGCTCTCCATACATTTACTGTCTTATTCAGTTATAGAGCATTAGAACTAGTCATGATTCAAAAGCTATTTCAACCAGAAACTGAACTCAGTCTGTCAGTATTGTACAAGCTTTATGAAAAATGCCCTACAGTAATTTCAGTTATAGAAAATCTTACAGCAATTACCATAAAATGTTGAAGTACGACTGTTGTTTGGGCAACACATCCAGTGTGATAATACCATCCTGCTTTCTGTGATGAAAGGTGTCAATCTATTTATTGACACCTTTGGATCAATAGTATTTAAGATATACTTGGCAATGCATCTGCCAATTCAAACAGTCAGAGCAGGGTTGAAATTTATGAGCAAGTTGAGTCAGCACCCGGACGCACAAGGCTTACCAATGCTGACTCACTGTGTTTGTATTTTTGTCATCTCCTATTTCTGATCGAAACTTTTTAAACCCCATATCACCATTGTTCCCAGATAATCACGTATTGTATGAGAACTGTGTTCTACCTCCTCCTGCTCTACCCCATAAAGCTCATCTGTCCTTTAGTCATGGTAAAGGCGCAGGTGCAAACACCCCCCTACGACACTGGTGAACATCCAGGGAATGGACACTGAGAGAGTGGACTCTTATAAGTACCTGGGTGTTCACCTCAACAATAAACTGGACAAACAACACTAAGGCACTTTACAAGAAAGGCTGCTGAGGATATTAAGGTCTTTTGGAGTGCAGGGGACACTCCTGAGGACCTTCTTTGACACACTGGTGGCATCAGCCATCTTCTATGGAGTGTTCTGCTGGGGCAGCAGCATCTCAACTGCAGACAGGAAGAGACTAGACAAACAGGTTGAGAGGGAAGTGCAGTGGTGGCTTGAGAAGGACTCCCACCCCCATATATGAGACTCTGTCAGCACTGGTGGCTCCGTTAGTGACTCTGTCAGCACTGGTGGCTCCGTTAGTGACTCTGTCAGCACTGGTGGCTCCGTTAGTGACAAACTGCTTCACCACAAGTGTGTGATAGAGCATTATTGCAGGTCCTTACTTCCTGCTGCTGTCATGAGTGTACAACCAGCAGTAGACCGACCCCCACCCCCAAGTCGTCCTCACACACCCACAGACCGAATAACTGTGAATACACAGCATACCAGTGTGCAGTATGTCTTTTTATTATTATAGCTACAATTGTTTATATTTATATTGATAATACCTTGTCTGTTAATTTTTGATCTTAACACTGAGCGCCTGTTTCTGTCCCTTTGCTGCTATAATGGCATGAATTTTGCCATTGTGGGACTAATAAGTGTTTATCTTGGACTATAATAAATATATGAATGACCTTACCCACTGATTACATCTGTGTGAACACAATTTGCACATTGTCTAGTCACTAGCTCTGGGTCTGCTGTATGAATTTGCTGCACTGTTCTTGGTGGATTTCCTCAATGCAGTTAAAAGTTGTGACACAGGCAACTGACACAGAGTATATTGGGGGGCAAGCTAAAAGCTCATTTGCAGCCCCCCACCTGGTTAGGCTTTTAAGACAGGTTAAAAAAAACTAAATGCTAAATAAATAATAAATAAATGACAAATAACATCAACTATGTTGATGTTATTCTTCTCTGTGACATTGCCCACCATATACCAGTGTACCATTAAACAACCAATACAACAAACTTCTGAACAGGCCTTTGAATGACTTCTTCATCAGCTGATCATAAAGATACAGTGCAAGCAAAGACGGACTGAAGTGTAACCTCATATCACTGCACATCTTTTGCTAAATGTTGCACGCCACAGCTAACAGCTAGCTAACAATGACATGCAGTATATTCTGTGCTTCCTCTCCCTGAGATGAAATAACTGATGAGCAATTCCTCAAAAAATATTTTAGGACAAACAAAATAAGCATATGTTTGATTTAAATGGTTTTTTTTTACTACAGCGCTGTAAAAAGGCCCCCATGCTTTATACTGGTATTATTAACCTGAGGTTCAGTCTGTCAGACATCTTACCAACAGCCTAAAAACATGTCAAAAACTATACGAAGTAACTGGCCAAAGGAGGCCGTGAACAGCCCAGTAATGCAAAAGAGCCCAAGTGATAGCTCGTTTTGCCTCAAGAGATATTTGGAGAAATAATCATTATCATGCAAACTAGTGCTGATGCCATGAACAAGAAAGTTGAATCCATCCCTCTGTCACAGGGTTTGACAGCATCAAACAAGCAACCCAAGCATGTGCAAACATACCCAACACCTGCTTGCATGTGTCCATGAAAGCAAACAAGGCTGGTCTCAGTTACAACAATTATTTTCGCCACAATCAGGATCTATGCAATAAAGGCCGAATGGCACATAAATCCAAGACTGTTGTAATTCTTTTTTTGGCAGTGCTTAGAACCAGACACCGTCATCGACATTACATCTTCAGCAGGCCTCCACTTGTAAGAAGTGAATCGATGTGAAGAAAATATATGTTTTCTGACTTAATTTGATGATGAGCTCCTGGACCTGATTGAGTATGGTTCACGAAGCCTAATGAACAACTTACTCTAGACTGCCTTTTAGACTGAAATCATGTTGACAAATTGTGGAGGCACCATCGACCCCTACAGCCTGATGAAGGTTTGAAATTAGCACCACTGACCAAGTAAATGCTCATTTGATACTTCAGCAGGTAACCAGAAGTACAGATATATGCAGCTCATATTTCTGCTTAGCACAAAATTCAGTTTGATTCTGTGCCCTCCACTGTTTCTGCAGTCAGTTGTTCTGACGAATTGTGCTGCCTTGGGGAGATATGCTACCTTAGCAGAAGTGAATATAGGTTTCAGGTTTTCAGTAGGACTGCAACTAATTTTGTTTTTTAAATAGCAATTTATCTGCCACATATGTTTTTCTCTTGTACAAATGAAACATACTGTTTGATACAGGTCAGCTGGTTACATTAATGTCAGCTGGAGTTCTCAGTCACCTCAGAAAATATTCATTAGCTGATAAGATCTACTAGCTTCAGCCAACAAAAGAGCCATCTAAGAACAGAAAGTTTGACAGGTGTGGCTACAGGGGGGTGGGGGTTAGCAAAGGGTAAATTATCTCAGCTCTAGTTTCCAACATTCCTCTTTGCATATTTGGACCAAACCAAATTCTTACAAGCAGGGATACATAATTGTCTCTGTAAAAGATGGCTCCAGATACAGCAGTTGTTTCAAAGCAAAGTAATGGGTTTTAGTGTGAGTAAACTGCATAGAGGTAGAGATGTGTTACATGACTCCAAACACCAGGTGAAGCCATATAGTTTGTGCTTTGCTTTCCTGTAGTAGAAAACTTTCTCAGGTTACACTCTGTGGCATCTGAATCATGGTTCAAATTAAAACAATCTTGCGCTACTGAGTCTCCTCTTTGTTCTTGTGACAATGACAGGTGTGGATCTCGTTTTTGTTAAAAAAAAATTGAGTTAATGCTATCTGGGTTGCAGTGTGAAAGAATAAGTTTGTATGAAGCAAAGAAAAATGCATTTTAATTTTCTCATTCGGACAGGACAGCCTGGTGAGGACAACTATAATGAGATAACTTATCTTTAGAAATCTTCAATTACAGAACATTTCCCATTGGAGTAACTATACCTCTGGGCATTTGTGCACTAAATAGGAGCAGGACTAACTGTGCCTCATGTTTCTCAGGTGTCTTTTATGTTAAAATGGTTTGTTTGCAGACATAGTGGAGTTACTGAAATGGGATTCTCCATACACCAGTAATTGTATTCTTTTATTCATGAGGAGTAGATCAAAGGTAGCCTAAATAAATATCCAAAGCTGTAAAGAGACAAGAATACGGCCGTTCTATACAAAATATAGGTATATTTACTTCTTGAAAATACGTGAATTTACAGTAATAGTAATTTAAAAAAAGAAGGCTCCAGATACTTAAAAATTGGTTCCATAGAGCTTTAAAGTTTTTAATAGGGTGTCTAACATCGTTTGACATCAAAAACTTTTTCCTCAACTTTCCCGCATTAGCGTCGTCCCGCATCTACTTTAAACAGAGGAGTTGCAGCAAACGTTGTCCGTCGTTGCTAACGAGCACTCACCGTCTCTAAGATGGTGTTGCTGTGCAGAGCGTTCTCGGACAGCGCGAGCCCACTTCTCCGCCTCCTCCTGGTTAGCGCACGGGTCCTGGAGCGCAGAGAGGCGAAAGCACCGCTCCACTCTTTGCCGCGACACCCCGGAACTCACCCAGCGCCGTTTCTGCAGGTAGAAGTAAACTGCTAAGTACGCTGCCGGGTCCGAGCTGTCATTCGCCCGGTAAGCCCGGCAGCCAACGCAGTCCTTCAAACTGAACACCAGCCTGTTCCGCTCGGCAGGTGCCGATGTGAGCCTCTGGACAATGAGGTCCTTATCGGTCAGGCTCACAGCACACCTAACTTTTCGGATGCCGGTGACCGTAAATTCCCCGTACAGCGTGACCAGGTTGGTACTGGTGTTTTGGTTCGGTTCAACTCTCCTCTGATCCATCCTGAGTGGACACCGGAGTAGTGAGACCGGGACGTGGGTGGATTTGAGATAAAGGAGCAGCCACACACGGCCACATATCTCACCGGACAGAATGATGCGAGCAAAGTGGAGCGCACGTCTCTGACAGTCTGGTGCCCAGACCGGTTTTAGGGTAACAAAATCAAGCATGCTACTTCCGGGTTCATTTCAAATTAAGAGCCACATTTTTTAGTTTTGGTCAACAAACAGGGCTGTAGCATTTACTGACCGAGTTGGTGTTGTCAGCATTTTTCAGTGAATTGTGTTAAAACGTGTACATGATAGGTGATTCACAAAAAAATCCAAATAAAAAATGTTCATCTTTTTGATGTTTTACTTTATGGAGTGTCCACATTTTAAACTTTTTAAAATTACAAAACAATTCTGAGAAAATAAGCTAATGTGACTAAGCATTTAGTGTTGCACATACTGTAGGCTACCAAACAAAATTTTGGGTGATAATCAGTAACCCTTGAGGATTAAGGGGCCCCGAGAGGTTGCCTGGTCGCTGGGCGTCGTGGGCATATGGACGCGTTAGATAAGCTCAGGATTCACGACAAAATTATTTTAAAGGGCGCCCAGTTTCGCTGGGTGGTTGTAGGTGTCTTTTTCTGGCTTGACGCATTTCTACTGGCTGCAGGTCACGTTGCTCCATGCTGTCGAAAAGAGACGCTATACTGCCCCCCTGTGGTTAAACAAGTCTATAGGTTGCAAACTTAATAATCACAATGCAAAATCCAAGAATACTGGGCTATATACTCTTGTCTTTTGGAACTTCATTGTGCTTCAGGAGGCAACCATTGTTTCTCATTTAAACTTGAATTTAAAGGATCACCTCATCTAAATTAGAAAAATAAATATAATAAAATTTAAATGGCAATGTTCACAGTTCTCCATAGTGGTATTTGTGCATTTAGATAGCAAGATTCAATTTGAGATACCTGGCTCTGAATCTTCACCAATAATAGATTTGAGTGGAATATATGTTGCTGTACAGTGTTTGAAAAGTAACATTTTGAAAATTTGATTTCTTTTCAGAAATAGTCTGTCATTGGTCATTGTTACTGTGGACAGTAACATCCACAGATCACACAGCCTACTGTAGAATTTCTATGAAAACTGTCAGTCTGGTGTGTACCCAATCTCACTAGACAAGGACACCCCTCCTCACAAATCCTATCAGAGGTTGTGCAGCAGTGGCTGCTGGGGTGATTAACTTTTCCTGTAAACAGTAAGGTAAAAAAAAAGCCTAAAATAAAAGTAAAAGTAAAGAAGTAAAAGTAAAGTTAAAAGCCTGGCTTGAAGCATGAATTCCCCTAAGAAAAAAAATAATAATGAAGAATCCACTTTAATGAAAGCAGTAGGCCTAAATTTCCAAATAATCCACTTGCTGTAGTATGAAAAGCACAGGAGTTGCTGATAATACTGACAATGGCTCCATTGATTTTTATACCTTAATATGTTCATACATCAGCTGTTATAATATGGTATAGTAGGCAGCCACAACTGTATTCATAGTTTTCTATGTGTTACTATATATTTTTTGTAAACTGTTAATTTATATTGATCCATAAGGTGAGAGTGGTACAAGGAAAGATCAGAGAGATGCAGACATTAGACAAAAATCATTGACATTATAGACAAATGTATGTAACTATTGCTATTACTATTGTGATTAATATTCTTTATAAACACTCGCCCTCTATAGATAATATGCTGCTGACTCTACATGACATATCATACACCAAGGCTATGAGAACTGACTGTGCACCTACCATCTAATACATTGGTAAGAGACCACATTATCTGTGAGTTATATTTTAGTAGTACAGTATACAAGTACTGTAACTGCATTTTGAATTTAAATAAATGCCAGAAGAAAGTAGCCTAAACAAGCTATTAGTGCAAAGTCTCATCAGAAACTACAGGAACAAATAACTCTGATTAATAGAGCTGACAAGTTTGGCTCTGAGTGTTTTATTATGTTTCCCGCATTCATACAAATAAACTTTGATTAGTGTAAGATGGACGTTTTGATAAGAAAGAAGTATGACTTTAAAATGTGTCTCATTGTCTTATTGAAAATCTGCAGCCTGCATAGACTTCCACACAAGGAAGCCTGGAACTGGAGAAAATGGCACTGATTAAATTGTAATGGGCCAATTTCATCATGTATCAAATGATTTAATTTCAGTTTAGCTTCATTCTGTCAGATGGCTATGATAATAAGTGTGTTGAACAGAGAGAGAAATATCCTCTCCAGCAAAAGACCCAGTTCATCTTAATAAATTCATAAATGGCAGCCTAGTGTGCAGTGATAGAAGGTAACAAGGTATAGTTTTGATGTACTTCAATTTTAGTTATGTCCATTTTATTTGATTTTATACTTCTGTTTTACTGCAGTACAAAGGAAAATAAAGTAATTACATTTTGCTGACAATAGTTGTTCTTTGAAGGGCGGCACAGTGGTGTGGTGGTGAGCATTGTCGCCTCACAGCAAGAAGGTTCCAGGTTTGAGTCCTCGCCAGCCTTGGGTCTTTCTGTGTGGAGTTTGCATGTTCTCCCTATGCCTGCGTGGGTTGTCTCCGGGTACTCCAGTTTCCTCCCACAGTCCAAAGACATGCAGCGTAGGTTGATTGGTAACTCTAAATTTTCCATAGGAGCAAGTGTGGGTGTTTGTCTACATGTTAGCCCTGTGACAGACTGGCGACCAATGTAGTCAGCTTCAGTACATGCTAAACACACATTTTATGTCCTTCTGTGAGACAGCCTATCCATGTAGAGTACCAGTCCAGTAGGCTACTGCACTTTTTCTTTGTACGTTCTCTGCTTCTGTGCAATTAAAGCAGAAACAGCTGTTTCTATAATTTATGAATCAAGCAGTTACTTTACTGAACAGACAGATGGCGATGTTACATTCAGAAAAAGGCAGTGAATACCACACCATAGTGCATTCAATTTGAAATCCAGCAAACCTATCATAAAATACTGCAGACTAAGCTGTGTGCACTAAATAATAGAACTTATATATTACTTGTTCAAAGCAGGAAGTGGAAAGTAACTTGTTAAATCAATCTCAAGTGTATTTTAGGTACAGTTTTTAGGTGCTCGCCCTTTATTTGATCATTTTGTGAAAGCTTTTACTTTTACTTTAAGATACTTTGCTGAAAAATACTTCACTTTTTACCTCAACATGTGACTCCTTACATCTAGTCACCTTACCCCTTCACTTTGACCACTTTTTTTGTGGAACTGTTGTTTTTAGTCAGAGTTGTTCACTTCTCTACTACAGGCACTGTGCAACCTCACATTCATATTTTCTGATCTCTGTGATTATAAAATCCATTACTGGCACCTTCATTTATCTTCATCACTGCATCAGTCATGGCTCTGTATAATGCTTTGAGAGAATAATAAAGAAGATGTCTGACTTCTCCTTGGCCAAATCAAAGTCATTCTGGTGTTCTTCTTCTGCTCCAGGCGCAGACACATGATCCACAGTGAAGAGAAGCGGAGTGGGAGGAGAAGGGGGGAGGAGGTAATCATACAATATATGCAGATGGGAATTAGTGGTCCCAATAAACACCAGGAGCCAGAGGGGAATCGGGAAGATTTTATTCACATGCAAGTCTTGTGCTGCTAAAATGCACTGCTTTTCACCCACTTCACACCAGAACATAGGTAGGCATCACCTTAATTCCTACTTTGCTGAATGCAGTTTTTCCCCAAAGCCATTAAGGACTTTACACTGAACCTGAACATATTATGTAATTTGCTGCAATGGGAGAAAATGCTTCTGAAAAATGTGCATGTTTCTTCATCATGAGATCATTATGCACACTATGGGCTTGACAACAAAAGAGGCCTTTCATTTCAAACTGCAGGGTAGATGCTGATTTCCTAAAAGCTATTGATTGAAAATAGCACAGCTGAGGAGCGGGAGAGGAGTCATGAATGGAGACAGTAGATTCTCACTTCCACCGTTTTCCAGCTGTGAGCCCTATTGCTGCCTGGCCTTGAAGGGGGGGAAGAGGGCCGTCCCTGCATATGGTGTTTTTCATGGGACTGAAGAGACAGCGCTGTCACTCCCATATGTACTTTAGCGTATAGTTTTGAAAGGCTTCTTCTCAAAAGGGCAATAAAACAACCCTGTTTTCATTGCATACTTTATGATCACATGCCCCACTTTGCATTAATTGCCATAACTGGCATTCCTCACCATCTGGTTTCATCTCCTGAACATGAGGCCATTGACGCATGCTTAATATTGTAACTGATAAGCAGCCATTATCTGTTGTTAGGGCAATGCAATGCAGATGTCAACTCGGTACATATGAATACAGTCAATTATTATTGCTGATATAACATACAACTCACTGAGCCTGCCTCTGTGCCCTATCAACACCCCACACCCTTCCTACACACATACATACACACTGACAGATAACCGAGTGGGAGGAAGGAATGTCATATACCTCAGCATTTAGTTAGCATTGGCATCTAGCATGACAGACTCCCCCATCTGGGTCGCTTAGCTCTGATGACTTGCAGAAAGGTTTCGCCTGTCTGCCTGGCTCGCTTTCAGCTGCCCCTTAATTCTGCTCTGTTTCTTCAGACCCCCCCAATGCCTTTGTCAATGCACTGCCATCTTTACATAAGAGTTGTGCAAACTTGTCTCTTGTTGGCAAGCAAAACATTTTGAGCTGTGAAGTCCTAGATTTAATGGTGATAACCATAAAAAATACTGTGAAATTTCCATTTAAAACTAATAATGTTGTCACTGCCAGGGTGCTTTGTGGAGAATCAAATCATTTTGTGTAATTTCATGCAAAACCCTTCTTAGCCTCCTGTAGATTAGCTCCTGAGAAAAATGAAAATGTATTTTTAAACAGTGCTATGAGTCTAGCGGTCATGCTAGCAGCTCTGTGAGGCAGTATTAGACAGAAGTGCTTTCAGTCAGATAACATCAGCATGCTCCCTCCATCACTATGACAATGTTAACATGCCGATATTTAGCAGGGACTGTATATATGTATCATGTTCACCATCTTAGTTTAGCTTGTTAGCATGCTAATTGTTGTTATTTAGCACTAAATACAATGCACAGCTGAGGCAGATGGGATTTTGTTTTGGAAGTGTTTGGTCATAAACCAAA